GGCAATTTTTATCATTAGGTCCTTTTCAACATCTCTGAAGTTCCTACTGACCCCTCAACCTTTCAACTCCCATCCCCTAGAACTTACCTGGGGGAAGGCATGCAGCTGGGCTCAGCAGTAAGAAGATGGATCCAATCTTTCTCTTCCCTTTTCAAAGCTTCCCTTTCCTTAGCATGAGAAAACTTAAATTATTCCTGGGTTAGGTTCATTGTTTCTCCTATTCTTTTTGCTGTTTACAGCATAAAATTTATGCTAGGCTATATGAGATATGTAACAACTAGAATTCCAAAATGTCTGTCTATTGCAAATCAGAAGCCTTTGCTTTTAAAGATTACTATCTCTGCTATAAGTTTCAAAAACTCAATTCAGAACTCAGAGCTAAAAAGTGTTTTGGTACAATCTTTACTGCTCTTCACTTAACATATAACCCTGAAGCAATAAAATTTATTTATTCACTCTGGGGAAGAAGAAAGTGGTAGAAAACCATTTGTTAAATGATGAGAAAAATTCTTAATTAATATCTTCAAAGTTTTTACTACCCCAAACATTTTTTCCCAAACAAATATGATATCAATAGTTGTTTCTAAATACATACATTTTCCAGGTGAGGGGAAGCTGGGAATTATGTGTGACCAAAATAACATACGTAACAGGAGAACTTAAACTAGACAATCTATTTTCTAATCAGATCTAATATTTTATTCTAGAAAAATTATTTAATGACAATTCTAAAGTTGACTATTAATTGTATGTCTAGAAATTTAGTAAACTTAACTTTAAAAATTAGCTGAATTCATTTAGGATAAAGCAGTATTGCACAAAAAGAAAAATAAGACTGGTAAGGAGAGCTAAGGCCGAGGATTAGCCCTCATAGTCTACATGTGTATCTGAAGTATGAAACAGATCAGGGAGGGCATCATGCAAAATGCTCAGTGAGCCATCAATGAATTGGTACTTGATGATTATTTACAACATCAATGATTAAAACTAAAAAACTGATCAGTTATTAAATGCTAGTGGCTCAATAAAGAACAAACATTAACTAACCACCTCTCCTGGAGGCACAAAGATATGCTAAATGTAAGCTTAGATATTTGTTCATTTATTCATGTGAAGGATATACCATCTTATTTTTTAGGTAATTCTCTCACTCTCTCTCTCCTTTGTTTTTTGTTTGTTTGTTTGTTTGTTTGTTTGATTGCTTGTTTTACTTATTGTTTATAGAGATGAAGGTGGGTGATGTGTAGGATTACTGAAATATAATCATTGATTTTTGGCATAGAAATAAAGTCATCCAAAACATTTCCCTTTAAAGCAAGACTTTTGCGATGGACAGGAATAAATCATATAGAATTGGCAATTTACATTTTAACTAGTAACAAATAGTATCATTAAGATGAAATGTCATCCTCAAACAATGTGAAGCTCACTGATGGGGTCTTTGAAATAAACTCAGTGGCCTGAGTGGAATTTCAAGTAATTCCAAATAAAAGTTTTGGCCTAAACTTAGGAAGTACCTTTTCTATTTTCTCCATTTTGAAATATAACTTATCTCCTCTACTTTTTCCCTACAGACAATTCAAAATCTATCATTTAGCTATCAGTTTAAACATCAAACAATTCTAGAATATACTTTACACTTAAAGTTTCCTCTGTTAAAATATTGACAAGTTAACTTTTAAATGAAGCTTGCCCTGAGGGTTTTAAAATTGAATGTGGACATCTTTATAGATAAAATATTAAGTTAATTACTATTATATAAGTTTCATGGTTAATGATTGTGTCAAGTGGGATGTATGTAACTATAATTCAAATTCTTTTTTAAATAGATACATCTTTCAACACATAAATATGTATATTAGAAAAGTTCTGGCCATTTCTAATAGAATAATTAAGTTTTTCTACACAATATAAGTTCAGAATTTTTTGAGTGTATGTGGTTATTATAAATTACTACCAGAAAATTTCAGGTAGTTTGTTATAACTGTCTTTTACATTAATTCTTAATGTTTTGCAAAGTAGATATACATTATGATAAACTTCAGCATCTCATTTAAAAGAAAATGTGCCATAAGTTTTTATTTTTCTCTCAGTTTACCCCATGACCAGGATCAAAATGTGATATGAACTCAAGTCTAATACAAATGAGTTCCTACTACAAGCCGTGCGATTTACTTTGCTATTTTTGTTTATTATTTTTTAGTTAGTTTCTCTGGTTATTCAAGATTTTATTATTTTTAATGTTTTATTGTTGTTCAGTTACAGTTGTCCACATTTTTCCCCCACTACTCTCCTCTGCTCTTCCCACTCCTCACCTCCCACATTCAAACCGTCTCCGTTGTCCTTGTCCATGGGTCCTTTATACATGTTCCTTGACTTGACCCTTCCCCTTCTTTCCCCCGTTATTCCCCTCCCCTCTGGTCATGGTCATTTTGTTTTTTATTTCTATGTCTCTGGTTCTATTTTGCTCGCTTGTTTGTTTTGTTAATTAGGTTCTGCTTATAGATGGTATTTGTCTATGGCTACTTGGCCTATTTCATTTACCATAATACTCTCCCGTTCCATCCATGCGGCTTCAAAGGGTAGAAGTTCCTTCCTTCTTTCTGCTGGGTAGTATTCCATTGTGTGAATGTACCACAGTTTTTTGATCCACTCATTTACCGATGGGCACTTAGGCTTTTTCCAGCACTACATCCCTTTACATCCCTTTACATTTCCTTTATATCCCTTGCTCTAGGAGATATGTCAGTGAAAATGTTGCTGCATGGAATATCTGAAATTTTCCTGTCTATGTTCTCCTCAAGGACTTTTATGGTATCATGACTCATATTTAAGCCTTTTATCCATCTTGAGTTTATTTTTGTATATGGTATAAGTTGGTGGTCATTTCAAGTTTTTGCATGTAGCTGTCCAGATCTTCCAACACCATTTGTTGAAGCTATTTTTACTCCATTTTATGCTTCTGCCTCCTTTGTCAAATATTAATTGACCATAGAGACATGGGTTTATTTCTGGACTCTCTATTCTGTTCCATTGATCTATGTGTCTGTTCTTATGCCAGTACCAGACTGTTTTGATTATGGTATAGTTGATATCAAGTATTGTGATCCCTCCTACTTTGTTCTTTCTCAGAACTATTGAGGTTATTTGGGATCATTTATGGTTCAATATAGATTTTTGAAATATTTATTCTATTTCTGTGAAATATGTCATTTTAAATTAATTTTTATTTTTTTCTGTTAGTTCCATTCCATAAGCAACAATAACTTTAGCATGTTTTCTCTTCTGGCCTATTCTTTCATTACCCCATATTTAATCAATTTTGACTTTCATGGTGTTTATATTTTACATCCTATTATACTTGTATTAATTTACCAGTAAATTATAGATTACCAATGAAATTAGTTTACTTTCCTCTACTTTGCTAGTTGTTTAGTTTTACATTGTCATATAGTATCTCCTTTCATTATGTTCTGTCCTGACATTTGTTTAATCTTAGTTCAATAATTAAATGCATTCATTAGTCACCACATATCTTTTTGTCATGATTTCCCAGTCATCTCTTAGCTGGTCTAAGTTAACCTTCAGATAGGTTTTCAAGAAGAGTCCATGGGAAAAATATTAGCTAAATTCTTGTTTGGACAACACCAGTAACCTTTATATAGTTTGGCTTATCCAAACATAATGTTTATATGTTATGTTTTCTTTCTCTTTCTTTGAGTATTAAATAAGTATTTCTACAGTATTCTCTGTCATTATGGTTGTATTAGATAAATTTGAAGCCAAGCAGATGTTTTTTTCCTTGGTTCTGTCTTCATTTTTTTGCTTAGAGCCACAAATTTTTTTCTTCATCTGTAAAATCCTATAACTTTAATAAGCAATAAATACAATTAACAACTCCAGGTTTGTTCTCCCCAATCTCTCAGAGACAACATTGCATTTTTTTCAATATGTTGATTCAAATCAGCTTTTACTTAATCAAAGTTGTCCTGAATCACAACTTTTTAAAAAGTTTTGATTTTTCTTCTTTGGAATCTCACTAATGATAGAACTTTATTGTCTGATTATTATAGTTATCATTTTCTCCCTAAACTATTTTAAATCTTTCTCTTTTCTTTTTCTTTTTATTTTTTCCCACACAGCTGTCCTCTTTGATGTCTTCTAGTTTCCTGACTTCCTTGCATTCTTCCCAAATTCTTCTCTTTTTTGTGTGTTTCATTTTTCTTTTCTAATTCTTTTCTGATTTCTGTGAGCTCATTTTTTTAACTCTCCTATTGTTAAGCCAAATCATTCTTATTCCTGCATTTCTTCTTAGTCATTTTCTATTTTATGAAGTATTATTTTATTAAGTTTCTATTGTTTTGTTTATTTATTCACTTGCTCTATAGTATTTTAAAACTAAAAATTTATTTAGATAGACTTTATTATCAGAAATATTATATTACTCTTTCTTTGATTTTATATTTTCAAATCTATTTTATAATTTTTTATCTAATATGCACACATGCACATTCAGTTATATGATTTTTCCTATATGTCTCATATTTTATATCTGACCAATTAACCATTTTATTAAAATATGAAGGTAACCAATTTCTTTTGAAAATTATTCAAAAAATTTCAACTCACATAGGTTTTTTTATACCATTTCTCTTTAGGGTTTTTATTGTAAAAAATATTGTTTTAACGCTTTTCCTTTTTGAGCTTTTATCTTTGTTTTCAAATCAAAAAAACTTACCAGTTTTGTTCATTTTGTTTTAAATTCAAAAGGTCATTAATATAACTCTTTATAAAAACATAACTAGTGATAGGAATAAATTGATTTTACCCTTATTCTTGACAAGGTTGTAAGCATTGTTTTAAGATATCATATAGAATTTAATACTTAAGTATTTGATGACTCATACAACAAATGCTCTCCATTTGCAGGCCCCAGGTTACTATATTAATTGTGGTTATTTTTGTAGACCAAAATATCTAACATTGTTTTTGTATTTTAGGTTAGTGGGATGGTTTGGTCATGAACTCAGCACTAGATTTAAAATGGATAACAGTAAGTGCACTCCATTTTACAAGTAATTTCATTTCAACTTTATTTTAATTTTCATCTGTCTTTGTTGATATGTAATATAAACGCCACATGGAGAGGGCACTTTGAAAATGACACTGAGAATTTTTAAAATAAGAAATGACATTTCCAGAATGTAAGACTAAGTGTTTGTAGATTTTAATATGATTTTGAGTCTATCCCTTTGTAGGGAGACAAGAGAAAACAAAATCTAACATAAAGGACTCAGATCTCATCAATATGGAGCACCCAAAACATGAGGCAGTGAGGACAGGAAGGAATGTTTCGCCTGGAGTCAGACCCAGAGAGACTTTGCTGCCAATCCCACTTTACTGTTTAATACTTTTGTGATGCTACACAAGTTACGTTATCTTGTTTTGTTTTGCTTTTTCATCTTAGATATTTAATGTGAATAATATCTGTGTCAGGATTTGGTTTGCGGGTAAGGACAATTTTAAACCAAGTAGCAAACAGCAGTGTTATTGAAGAAATATTCATTTTTATCTCCTCCTTTCCCAATTTTGCCTCCTTTTGTAACTCTTGTTACTTACTAAGCAGTAGCTGTTAAACACCAATAGGTAGAAATGAAAGTACATCAGGCACAGTGAGCTCCCAAACTGCCCTGCTTCTTTTCCTCAATAACTATTTTCAATCACACAGGATACAAAAAGCTTTGTAGATGTGATGAGAGTTCAACTTAAACAATTGCTTTTAACCCTAAGATACTATTTTAAGCCAATTTACACTCACAGAAATTAAGATGCAAAGGACCAAAATGGGCCCTTCCAGTCAAATCAAGAAACCTCTTTTTTATCTTGGCTGCTGAAATAATTTTCTATGTTATTATTCCAGTTACTTAAGTTTTTTGTGCTGGGTTTCTTATCTGTAAATGAGGGAACTAGATTAGATCAGGAGGCAAAGTTTTTCTGTGAGGGACCAGACAGGTGATATTTTAGGCTTTTTCTGCTAAATTGTTGCTGTTGCAGATACTCAGCTCTGCCATTGCAGTGCTAAAGTAGTTATGGACATGCATAAATGAATGACAGTGGATATATTCTAATAAAACTTTATTTATAAAAACAAGTGGTGGGCCACATTTGGCCCATAGGACATAGTTTGCCTAATCCTGGGTTAGATGAATCTCTAAAGACCCACAATATTCTAAAGTTTTTTCAGTCAGTTTTAGTTTTAGTTTGGTCCCTAGTCAACAATCTTAACTCTATTGGAGTTAACTTTCTACTATTCAATCTAATTCATTCTCTTTTAAATAGGATACTATTTGGTATTAATTTACCTTTTTAATATATCATACTTATATTGGTTTTCTAAACCTCTCCCCCCGCCCCCCAAGAGAAGCTACTTGACCTAGTACTAAAAGTCACCTTCATAGTTCATTTCATTCATATGCCTGCCTTTGTGCAACATTACAATTACAAGTCATTTAAATCCTGATGTTTTCCTCTCAGGGACATGGTTTCATAATAGAAAAGCAAAGCATGAAGTAGAACAAGAAATATGGACTTGGGAATAGCAGAGGACAGCGTCCAGAAAAGCTTCTAAAAGAGGTTATTTTTATCTTGTGTCTAAGGGCTCTAGTTTTTGATAAGCTGCTCAAAAAGTGAGGGCAGGGGAGACAAACATTGCAGGTGAATGGGGAAATGTGCTAGATTTTTTAGGTCCACAGATTTTCTCTTAATATCATGGAAATCTTAGGAATAAAAAAATTAATCTTATTATTTTTCACTCTACTAATTCACTGTCATTTAAAACAACAAATAATGAATACTTTTTAAGATATATTCTAAAAAATGACATGATATTAATTTTTCAGAATTGCAGTTAATCCCTGGAGCCCGTGGATTTAGAATTTCAAATCCTCCAATGTTGTTGGTCTGTTCCTTACATGCTAGTTTAGAGGTAGGTGATCTATGCTTCAATCTTCCCACATCTTTACCTTTTTGTTTACTTGATTGTGACATGTTATAGTACTTTCTCTGATAATCAGCAAGATTTTAAATGCTCACTGTGCACAGACACTGTGCTAAGGGTAGTTTTCTCCTTTAGGACAATGACTATATGTGAATTGTTATCTTTTATGTATATATCCAGGTCCTAGCAGAATGCTTGGCAAATTATTGGCACTTAATAAAATAAGTAGAACAAACCTTAGGAGATATATTTTTAGTTCCACTTAGAACTTGTGTGAACTTGAATGAGTTTTTTAATCTTCTATTAGTCTCTCTATCTACAAAATATTCAATAGCTAATTCTTAATTAATCCAATCATTCAGTGTTTATTAAGAGAGTACTTTGTGCCAGACAATGCTGTGCTTACTGAGGGCTCTGCTTCTTCTAGTTCTGTGAACCAATGAGCTGACAAAGTGCCATGTGGCAAAGTTATAGGAGGACTGACTTTAAGGAAGGAAAATTTAAAAATGTATATGAAAAATCAGAGTAAAACAAAGATTGGGTAAGGTTGTTTCATGAGGTCCAGTAATTTTTTTTTAAACAGGGTCTTTTATGCCATTATATCCATATAAAATCTCTACTCTTACTGGTTGAATACTTTTCCTTAAATTCATTAATATTTTTACTTAAAATAAAGTTATTCTTACCCTAAATAATAATATCCAAGGAATTAGTTTGTTTTCCTAAATATGCATATCTATGTGCCTGTTTCTATATATCTAGATAATCATATGTATCTCTGTCTATATATTCCAACTAATTATTTGAATATTAATTGATTTTAGAGTGAAATTAAGTTTATTTAAGAAAATATATTTTAATAGTTATATAACATATCATAATAGTAATATATCTATTAAAAATATATATTTATACACATATTTAAGTAAAATATACGTGCATATATTTCTAATAGGCATTTGAAATATATAGCTATTCAAATAAATTTTTATTTTCAAATAAATGTAGAGCCTCCTAAAATAGTCTAGCTTATGATATTTTAGGAAACCGTGTTGTGGAGTGGCTGGATAAAAACTTCCAAAATTTCTTCTAAACCTAAAATTCTAGGAATCTGAACACAGCAGTTTCTCATTTTGACCACTGGGCGGCAGTGTCAAGCTCCTCTATTTTTATACAACTGCCACTAAGATTTTGATAACCCATTCATTTCATCCCATCCCAATTTAAAAAGAGTAGGTACTCAGTTTGACCACTAGATGGAACTTGTGCTGTTCAAAGTTTTTAGCATTTTTTTTTAAAGTTAAAATAGACCCAGTAACAAGATTTTTCAGTCAGTGATATGTTTTTGGGGAGAATATACTTAGCAAATCAGATAATGATATTTGAATTTTTTTAATATACATTTAGAAAAATTATCTTAGTTATTTTAAAACAAAGTTTTGCTTACTTTGCCAGTTTATATCAGAGAGGAGTTACACTATCTAAAACAGACACGAAGGCATACTTTAGGAAAAAACTAGTACTTAAAGTTTCTTCCTCTTATTTTGTCCTCTTATTTTTCTTATCTTTGTAAACGCTCATCTATATCAAGACATTTTCTTTTAGATACTCCACTTTGGTATTTTCTCTGCAGTGGGCAGGCACTTCTAGGATACATCATTTTTGCCATGGGAAGAGTCAGATTCTTATTTCCCCTACACTAGAGTGTGTTATAGTTGCCTAGGGAAGGTTTTTATTATGTGGTGAAATCAGAAGACTGATTTCTCTTTTCCTTTAATATTAAACTTAAACCTAACAAAAGGACCTAAAAGCCACCAGAAGAGCGATGTACCCTTCCCTCGAGCTTCTTATTACCTAAGTATTTTTCTGGAGCCTCTTAGAAACACCTTACTTAAGTCATTCATTCACTGTTGAGGCTATGTTCTAACTGAAATTATACTTAAGTAATCAAACCTTATGTAGAAGAAAGTATTGTTTTAAAATTCTTCCTCCATATCATAAATTGCAAATTCTGACGTTACAACCTCATACATTTAATTGCTTCCCATTCTCTTCCTACTGGTAAAATGTTCTGCTTTCCAGATGATTCTGAGTTTGTCATGAAAGAAATAAATATGTGAATAAATCCAACTTTCTTTACTGTCCCTACTTCCCTTTCAAAATATATGCCACACAGTCAAATGTCAATGGCAGGGGAGATTCTATACTTAAGAATCAATGTGCATGAACATAATCTCAGATTTACAGTATGATTTTTAAACAAAAAATTAAAATGGCTTTGTTTACAATTATATACATTTGATTGATACTTTTAAAATACCATGTTATAATCAGTATAAAACTGTCTTTTTCTTTATATTGTTGCCTCTAAATCATTTAAACAATACCTTTAAAACTATTGTAGACCAAGGGAAAGAGCGCTAGGGTAGGAACCTGTTGGCAAATACTACCCCTCTCACAGGGACACTAAGTGTGGCTCACACAAATGACAACTACTCAGTAGTTGTTTTGCCTTAACTTTAAAGTGAAGATGTTTAGACCACAGCATTTCAGAGGTCTCAATCTTTCATTTACTAACTTGAAATTAAATGACATCTATATTGTATTTTGAAAGGTCATATTTGTATATATAAATATACTCATATAAACAACTTTTAAACTCTTTCAGAACTTATAAACTCAAATTTAAAATGAAATAGCTTCAAAATAAAAATTAGATCATTCAAATAAAATACATGGCAAGTCAGAAGAAATTTCCTATGTATTGTCACAGAAAGTTATTAGGGAGCCATTTTTAAGAATTTAAGAGAAAAAATGATAATTGAAAATGACATGCTATGCTTCTTTTTTCCTATTTAAATTTATCTGACTTTTCTAGCTTTGCATTCATTTTACTCAGGAAATGAGAGAGAGAGATCCAAGCAGTGGAAACTCTGCCCAGAGTTCTGTTATAAGCTGAATATTTTTAAGCTACTTTTAATTTTTTAAAATTATTCTTTCTCAGTACTGAAAGCACAGACATAATGAGAAGAAAAAAGATATTTATTTCATTTACCTGTTAATTACTCCCATTAACCTCTCTTAATATTTTTACGTGAGTTTTCAGGAGAGACTTTTATACTCCATGAGAAGAATTTTCGAGTACCTAAGAATGCAGCTACACTTGTGGTTGTAAGGCGGGGGTGGGGGGGCATAGTTTTAGATTTAAGTTATTTTATTGTTAATGAAAAATAACAGCATGTTAAAACTGAGATATTTGTTATAAAAATGGTTTCTGGTTATCAAGAAAAATTTGCTAGAGCAAAACCTCCTATAAAAAAATTTGAATTTAAATAATATTCCCCAAAGTCTTGCTAAGCTATGAACCCCAATGAAATATCATTAAAAGTACTACTTCACGCATTGCCCCATCTGCATCTTCTGTGGCCCACAGCAGAACCAGGAAATTTTCCAGAATTATTTATTAATTAAAATTTCTTCAAATAATTATTAATCTCCAAAGTTAAGCTTCAAAAGAATCCTCTAAGTTTTTGAATTTCAAACCTAATAGTCAAAACACTGGTAGGCTGCATCTTGCCTGACACTGCCCTGTCCTCTGAGTTTGCTGATTCTTGAACCAGACTCACTTGTTCCGAAACTCAGAGGATTTCCTTGAGTCCTCATTGTGCCTGACATGTTACATGCTGTTTTAAGCAAGGAGATAAAGAGATGTCTCCTACCAAACTCCATGTAACTGGGGTTACCTGAATCGTAAGTACAAGCAGGGACTCCCCACAAAAAAGGGAATTATCTTCTGGTGGGTTGGCCCCTTGCAGTATTGGCTTCCCTGACTAGGTGAGTGTTCCAGAAACCCATCTGTATCAGTGTACCAGCTGGCATTGTTGTGAGAGGCTGTATTCGGTTTTAGTGACTTTTTTTGAAAACTCTTTCAATGCACTTGTCCATTTCAAGATGGGTGATTAACGAGCACACCTGCCCATACCGTGCTGAGTGTTCACCAAACAGCTTTTTTGACCAAAAACAGAATGACCCCCATGCCCATCCTCCATATTCACCTTATCTCACCCCGAGTGACTTTGTTTTTTGTTTCTCTGGATGAAAAAGTCCTCGAAGGGAAATGTTTTGCCGAAGAGAAAGAGGTGAAACAAAAAATGGCAGAAGCAATAAAAGGCATCAAAATTGACAAGTATAAAAAGTGTTTTGAGCAGTGGAAAAATGTCTTGATAGGACTATTGAATCTAATGGAGAGTACTTTGAAGGTGACTGAAGTTTAAACGTGTAAGAATAAATACACAATTTTTCATAAATAAATTCCATTTTTTTAGTTCCCCCTCATATTCTGTAATAAAAGTTATACAAACATGGTCTCAAAATATCTGTGCTCACCCTTCTTTATAAGTTCTTTCCTTCTTTTACATTTTCACAGATTAATTTTTTTCCATAGATCTTAGGAACTTCAATGTACCATTTTTTTTTCTTTCTTCATTAGTGGAGAACTCTCACATTTTCTTTTAAAAGACAAACTTTACAACGTCTCTTTGGTACTTCCAAATTGCCAGAATCATTACTCTTGCACTTTGGGGTCATTATTAAGTAAAATAAAGACTTGCTTGAATAGAAGCACTGTGATACCTTGACAGCTGGTCTGATAAGCAAGACAGTGGCTAAGAGATAGGACACACAGCATGGACACACTGAACAAAGGGATGCTTCACATTCTGGGCCAGAAGGAGCAGAAGTGCAATAGATTTTCATCATGTTACTCAGAATGGCACACCATTTAACACTTATGCATGGTTTATTTCTGGAATTTTTATGTAAGATTCTTGGACCTTTGTGAGAAATGAAGCCATGAATACGGGGGTATTACTGTGTTCTCACTGGGATCTATGGTGCCTGCTGAAACAGACAACAGCTTTACTTGCAGATATTTCTCCAGGCTGCAGACATAGTCTGTGAGGTCTTGTTGGCAAGAGAGAGACAGATGCCATTCTATCCTCCCTTTGAGAGATGAGTAGTTTGGGCCAGAGACATTGTAAAGCAGGTAAACCATGGTAAAGTTGTCTTATTTTAGATATATTTTAAAAATAGGGCTACCAGCTTTTGCAGATGGGCTTGTGTGAGTTGTTTGGAAAATAAAGGAGTCAAGGATGACACCAAAGTGATGGACCTGAGCAACTGGTGGGGAGGGAATTGCCAAAAGCTGAGGTGGTGAAGGCTGTAGGAGTAGGTGACTTGAGGAGAAACCTCAGAGACCCAGTTTTGAATGTTTGTATTGAAATTTCCATTATATATGTATCCAACTAGAATGTCAATTAACAGTGGGATATGCAATTTTGGATGAAAGAGTCCAGGTGGGTATAAATTGTTCTGTATTTTAAATCATTGTTTTTGTAGGGAAAAGAAAAGGTGGGGAAAAAAATACAATGCTCATTCTCTTCTTCAGCCAAATCTATAGCCTCCATACAATAAAAGCAAAGAAAATTTATGCCTAAATTGTTTTTTTATTAAAATGCTTGCCCACACATAGGTACATATATGAGTATATAGAAATAAGTGTTTTCATAGATTTTATAAAGTCTAGATATCACTAAATGACCCTGTGTTTGCTCTGTGGCATGACATGATATAGTAAAGGGACAGCAAGTGGCATGCCAGTGCATCGCAGTCCGTTTGAAGTTCAGTCAGCTCTTACATGTAGGATATATTTTTAAACTCTACTTGACCTTAAGGAATAAGCTAGAAAAGCATGTCTGTTCTGACCTCTAATGTTCCAACACTAGTTATTGTGTGCCCTTGTCACTCATCTTAATATAAGACACCTCAGGCAGGAAATTGCAGTGTTTTCAGACCGCTGCTAGAGTTTAACAGTGAAAAAGAATGATGAAAGAAGAAAAATAAGAAAAAAAAAAAAAAGGGAGAAAGTAAGCCCAATGTTTCAGAACTAATAAATGTATTATCTAACATTTTTGCTTTCTTGTCTGATAAAACTTAGCTTTATTATTTAAGTGCTTGTTTTCTTAATGCTAAACTGGAGGAGATTTAGGAATTGGTAAAGCAGTTCTAAATAATATTTGTAATGCTAGCTTCCACATATACATGCACATGTAGCTCTTACCATATTGTTTTGTGGACCAAACAAACTTTATATAAGAATAGGAAAAAACTATTCTTGATTATTATTGTAAAAATGGTTTTGGAGAAAGTGTTTGAATTTTATGATATTTAAATTTATGAAGGGGTGCTTATACTAATTATACTAGGCTAGTTTAAAATAACTCTGAAGGAACATTATATTAGATTTATCTTTAGTGGCAAAGGATTTAAAAGAGCACATGTTTTTACAAAAGACTACTTAAAATGGGATGATTTTTGGAGAGGTTGCAAGTGATCATTTCCCTTTTTATGTACAATTTACAGTTAATATTTACTTCTTTGTAAATCAAAGGATTAACATTATTTTTCTGTTTCTTATTCTATAGATCTTTAACAAAGCAACTATGAAAGCACTGAGAAGAAAATCTATTTTGCTTACTGGTTATCTGGAATACATGATCAAGCATTACTATGGCAAAGATAAATCAGAAACCAAGAAGCCAGTTGTGAAAATAATTACACCATCCAAAATAGAGGATCGCGGCTGCCAGCTAACATTAACATTTTCTGTTCCAGTAAAACACATATTTCAAGAACTAGAAAAAAGAGGAATTGTTGTAAGTATATCTCTTGCTTCTACTACCAAGTTTTCTCTATGAGTTGCATATTAGGGATAAAATTTGGATTATTTGGTTTCTTCACTGTTCACATCAGTCAGTGAAGATAAACCAAGTGCCAGCTAAGTATTCAGCCCTTGCTAATTGAAAGGCACAGAGAGCTGTTATCTCAGATAAAAGAGAAGAAACCATAAAGTTCGCATATGGAGAATAGTTTTATATAATTTATTCACTTTCATTACATTTTGAGCAGCAAGTATTGTTCCATCATAATTAGGATATGTTTTAAGCAGTTTTTTCTAGTAAAAAGGCCAATATGTATTTATTGGATAAACAGAATTAAAGAACAATTCAACATGGTGGAGGAAGGAAAAAGAAGTCAGTCTTATTTTGTTGTTTAAGTTATTTTCAACCTGTCACTTAAGTCATAAAATATATATGGACATATCTTAGGAGTGTTAACATTGTATAAAATAATATCTTTAACCATTAGACCTAAGTGGCCCTCTTAGTATTTTGAAAGAAACTAGTAAGTGTTAATAGAATAATTTCAGGAAAAAATGGTGATAACAAATCTATTTCCAGTGATAACGTAATCTAGGAAGTGTTCCACTCTTGTGACCTTCCGACATTTTAGAAGTCGTCACCACAGATTCTGGAGGCACAAATTGGAATATCAGCATTCCAAATTAGCCCCCACTGTGTCCAAGCTATATGCTCTTGAGAAAGTTAATTAACATCTGTTTTTGGGTTGCAAATCTGAGGCCTGTCCAGAAAGTATTCAGCCATGTACTATGAAAAGTAGAGACATTTATTGAAGATACCAGATACAAGAAACATTGTAAATAGGATAATGATGTCTCAGTTCCCTTCAATGTAGGAACCTTGGGACCTCACAGAGTTCTCCCAGTTACAATCAGCTGCCACGCCCTATTTTCCTGAATCTCATGGACGGTTTGAAATCTCTTCCATGGTGATTTTAGTTTAGGGAAAGCCAAAAGTTGCAGGGCACCAAATATCAGCTGTAGTGGGGCTGAGTCACCTGGATGATTTGGTGTTTCACCAAAAAAGTCTGCCAGAGATGTGATGCATGAGCGGGCACTTTGTTGTGGTGAAGCTGCCAATCACCGGTTGGCCTTAGCTGTGGCCTTCTGAATCAGTATAATAGTTTCTGGAGAGTAATGTTCAAGCTTAACGCAAAATCTGATGAGGATTCATTGCTGTACTTGCTCAGTCATTTTGAATGTGATGGCCACACAATACACATGCTCATTCAATGGCATCTACTGCCCCCAATGACTGATACAATGAAGTTCTCATTGTTCACACATATGCATTCCAGTCCACTCTCCTTGGCTTCCAGGTTACATCAATGTTGTTCAAACTGTTCTTGTTATATTAACATGGTTGGACTATTTCCAGACAGACCTCCTGTACTTTCTTCAAAAGGGTGCTATGGGAATTAGATAGATCAATACCCCGAAACCATTTACTATGCTGTCTAGTCTGTAGTGGATATTTCTTAACATAGTTGTAGTGATCTTTAGGCAAGGGCAAATTATCTGGGCCCATTTCATAATATTTCAGCACTCTCAGTGTAAACCAAAATTAATTTTAGACTACAATAAAAAATTTAAAAAAAGTTTTATTTTAGCAAAAGGAGATATAGCCCGGGAACACAGGTTCAGGTAGCAACCTAAATTGTGTCCCTCATTTCCCTGACAAAGGGGAGGCCACGTTTCATAGTGACAGTTTCTACCTAGATTTCCAATTATGTTCATTTTATGTAAATGAATTATTCAAATCATGCAGTTCTGATTGGCCAGTGTAGATTAAAACAAGGACACAAATTGTGCTGTTCTGATTGGATAGGACAAGTCTCAGTCTGTTGGTAGAAAGATAAAACCAGAGTTTCTCCACAGTCGTTGACTGAGCATACATAAACTGCAGGAAGCCAGGAGTTTAATCTGAGGTGTTTCTCAGTGTACCAGGTACTGTACACTATATGTGAGAAGCCCCTGTCCTCTAATGGTCACTACATTCTTATTAAAAACTTTGGGCTCTTTGTTGATCAGGGGAAGTCCATCTCAGCAGATAAATTATTTTCAGGGTTCATATCAAATGAATTTTCTTCTCAGCACCCACTCCAGGAACACAGTCAACTCTACAGCTCAAAGATTAAGAATTAGAGAATTCAGTGTAAGGATAATTGTCTAAAACTTTCCAGAACAGTGTCAGGTTCTCATTCATTGAAATGTGTTCAAGATTCCAGGCTCTCCAGGGTCTCCCCACAGACAAATCATTCATATGCTCTATTAAATGCTTAAAGAAGAGGCTTGCTCAGTGGACTTCAGGAAGTACTTTTAGGTATCCTTGTAGCAACCCATTGCTATTGCAATTATAATTTATAAAAGGGTTTCAAATGACACAGAAGCACTATATTTTAGTTAAAGTGAAATCAGCATGACTGTTTCATGTAAGTTTATCATTAATTCAGATATTCATTATGAGAATAATGCTAACATTATTGTGGCTTTATTTTTCCCACACAGTGTGACAAGCGGGAACCAAATGGCATCCGAGTGGCTCCAGTTCCTCTCTACAATTCTTTCCATGATGTTTATAAATTTATCCATCTGCTCAATGATGCACTTGATGCTGCAGAAGAAAGAAATAGCAGTGTTTAGAGCAAATTAAGCAAATAATATTGAAAGCTTCTGTGACTATTATTTTTATTCAATTATTAGAAGTATTAAAAAACTGATTACACATAGCTAACATTAAATTGTATACTTTACAAAAAACCTGGTACAATTTTTACAAGTCAATGTCCCTGAGGAATCTATAACTAATTTCTTGGTGTTTCGTGGATGAAGGTGTTCATTGGTCCAAATATTAGTACACAGTCTTGCTTAGCTATTACATTTCATGGTCAGTGAAATTTTTATTGGTTTAATTTATAACTTGACTATTTCATAATATATATGAATTTTTCTGTCAATTTTATAAATACTACTTTAGTTTTAATTTCCCAAAGCCTTTCTTATAAGAATCACAGTTGAACAGTCTGATATACGTATGATTTTTGCAATATTCTATCTAGCGCTAATCTAAGGAACGGAAAATGTGTTTTCTGAGGCAGTGGCCTTCAAATATTTTTGACCACCATCCACACTAAGAAATAAATCTAATAACAGAAATCAGTTTTTGTGTGTATATGCCTTAGTTTATGTATTTTAGTACACACCTTTTAATAATATTTTGACACCTGTGAAAGAAAAGCCTTTCAATTTTCAATCAACTGCTTCTTACAATTGCCATTGACCACTCTTTCCCATTACCACCCTTGACATTAGCATACTTCTCACAATGACTACATAGCACCTTAGTTCAAATTAAAAATGATATGTACAACAAAAAGTTTCACAAATTATTCACCTGTGCTCTGATATTTATTATTATATTTTAATTTTATTGCTATAAGTGTTGGTTGAAACTCAGCAAATTGATTTTTCCACCCACTCTTGGGTTCTGAATCATTTTTCAAGCATATATCTTTATATAATGTTATCAAATTTTCTCTTCTTTTTAATGGGACTTCCCCTGATGAAAGACATTTGCTGTTACTCTGTCGCTAAAATAGTGCAATATATCACCTGATGATACTTTCGATTGAGGATTAGAATTAGGAAATGACTGCTTCTTCTCTCAACCTCTATCCCAAATCTAAGGACCTTTCTTACCCACTGTGAAGTTACAGTTGCGCTCAGCCCTGCTGGGTTTCCCTAGCATTTAACTGTTGATGCCATAACCACTCTTCATGGATTGACAAAATATTCCATATTTGTATATATTTTCAGCAATAATTTGCATTATTGCTTTAGTAAAGCTTCCCATTCCAACTTTTGGCAAAATATATCTTTATATATGGAGAATTTCTCAAAACCTTAAACCTCAACCATGCCTGGCCTCGTGAAGAAGAAATCATTTTTGAACCTCAGCATGGTAAACAAAACAGAGATGGTTTCAACTCTCATGGAAAATACAGCAAAGTGGGAGAAACAGGTAGTTAACATATAAACACTTGTAATAAATATATAATTACAAGTTTTAACCACTATAAAAGACAAACGGATGATACTATAAAAAATACCTCAATGGTATTAATTAGGCAATTGAATATGGGAAGGTGTATGAAGGTACTTTTAAGCCTAAATTCTAAAATATTCATGCTAATCAAATTAAAATTACATCCAATTGTATGTTCAAACCATTTAAAGCATGGTCAGCACTATGTCCTTATCACTCTGGTAAGAAATACAGCATTAGAAATTCCCTTTCTCCTAGCTTGTGTCCTCCTTCATCCCCTAATCCAGGAATAATTATTGAATTATATTCTGTATTAATCATTTCCTTACTTCTTTGAAGTTTTACATCCATGTGTGTACTCATAAAAATATATTAGCTAATTTGGTCTGTGTATGGACTTTCTATAAAGGTAATTGTACTGTATTCATTCTTCTGGTTCTTTTGCTCAACATATTTTTTGAGACTCTCCCATCTGTTGCATATTCTGTTTACATCCCTTTTCATTGTTTTTCAGTATTCCTTTATGTGATTGGAGTTATGACTTCATTCTATAACTAATGAACATTTTCGATTGTTTCAATTTTTTTTAATATTGCAACAATAGTGTTATTAACATTCTTAGTACATATGTTCAAAAGTTTGTCCAGGACATATAACTGAAAATGCTGGGAATAGAGCATACATGTGCTCAACTGTACTATGTACTGTTAAACTGTTTTCCAAAGTGGTTGCACCAGCTTCCATTTCAAACATAAGAGATGACCATTCCATTGCTCCTGATCTTAGACAAGGGTAGCTATTGATTGCTTTTTTTCATGTACACAGGTTAAAATAGTCAGGGTAATTATTAAAATAAGGGAGAATAAATGTGTAACTTCCATACAAGTAGAAGGGAAAAAACAGAAGGAGACACACATGCAAGACCGCACACAGGCACACATGCACCCATGCACACTCACATCCTGCAGTTTATGCTTCAGAAACCATTCTTAATCTGTGGATTAAGCCAAGCCTAGAATTTCACATGGATTTTACACTTGTCCAGCTCTTTCTCCTTCTCTTTTGTCATTATTTCCCTCCTGCATAACTTTCTGGTGAGCACTCCTTCAATAAAACATACTTTCCTAAAACCTCATCTCAAGCTCTACTTCTAGGGAGCTGATCTAAGATAGCACTTCCTTTATTATGTCTTAATAATCATAAGTACTTTCTCTTCTCTATCTAATATAAAATGAATTTGCAGTTCTACTTCTGTTGGGTTCCACATACAATGTTTGTTTCCTCATGGATATTGTAATTACTAACTTCAAACTGCTCATATATCTTGACCTTTCCTGAATTCTTTCAGAAGTGGGATAAAGAGTGTTTTTTAAAAGATGTATTTTTTTCTACTAGTTGCCCATGGTCACTTCTGACACAAGAACCTTTTAAGTTCTTGTTTTCAGGCTTTTCAGATCACATGAATAGCTTGAAAGTGTAAATATTAATCCACATGAGGGCCAATTTATAGTTACTAATTCTCAGAAGATATTAATTTTCTTGCTGACCCTTTACATATTCTTTGGCTGTTGACATTGTGTCAGGCTCTCCTATCAGCTCATTTACCTGGGTCTGTCCCAGGCTTGTTCCATGTCCTATTTAGTTATCAACACTGAAGCTCTGTGACTCTAGGACTTGGCAGAAACTGTTTGGGTGAAAGCCATGCTTTAATCCTAAATTTACTTTGACCCTTGTCTACCTCCCAGGTTTCTGTTTTTATTTCATTTTGGAGTTGTAAGAATTTCTTACTTTTATGACATCCCATTTTAAAAGGCTTGTTTGTTGTTTATCTTTTTGTATGGTATCTAATATCCCATAACAAGTTATTTGGCAAAATATTTTATGACTAAAAACAAAAATATATATTATTTTCTTACATAGAATATGTGAACAATGGATTACTCTTTATCAATAACTCAAGCACATTGATATAAATATCAATAATTTTATAGTGATGCCTTTGGGAGCTATTGTAATACACAGGGTTGTTTGTTATGAGGTGCTAAATTATATTATTGTACAAATCTGACTGGAGAAAAGGCTTTGTGTGAGGTCAATTACTTATTTTCAAATTAAATAATATTTTTTCTGCAGCTATTTTCTGCTCAGTGTCTTTATACCTACTCTTGAGTTCTACACAGACATATATCCAAATTGTGTCATGTTTGTTTCATAAACTGAAGTTACTAGAGCATTGATTTTGAAGATTGTTGCATAATCTTAAGAAAATAACCTGCAAACACTGTGGAAGCATCACATCATAAAGCACAAGATGGAAATCACTGGATTAGGGGACCCTGTTACTGAGATTATAGATTTGATACTTGTACCAGCCATTACCATGTGATTATGTGTTTGAGAAAGATACATTATTTTTAATAACATCAAGATGTATTCTCAAAGAACAAAACAGTAAAGTTTCTTTATAAACTAATTGATTTAAGCATTTCTCATGTGTTTTCAGTTTGTTGCAATTATTTTTATTAGTATACCAGTTTTTTCCCCTCAATTTTGACTCTTTAAGGTGGCCTTTTCTGAGTCCTTAGACATTACCTCAACTAATTCTTGATAACTTTATTGTTTGTATGTTAACAAAATGTGGCTTACTTTGTATATTTTGTACCTGAAACTTGACATTACTCAATCTTCTAACAACACCCAGGTCCTTTTGGATGAAAATGGTATTTAGAAACCATAATCTTAATTGCAAGAATGCTTCTTGTAATTGGGTTGTTATTGTTTACAGGATTTTCAGTTAACAGACTTAGAAAATACATATTTTGAAGAGAACTTGTATACTTCTTATTCATATTTCAAATTCAATTAAAAATAAGATTTTATTTAACTTTACTGATTTTTATCTCTTATGCTGAAAATCTTTATTTTAATAATATCAATTATTAGTTGCCAGATACAATATAAGATACACTACTATTATCACATCTATACATATAGTTTTAACATTAATAACAACAATATTATAAACAATGTGATTAAATGAGTTTTTTTTGAAGTTTGTTTTGTTTTTAAAATACATTTTACTAGAAATGCTAAGTCAAATTACTATTTTTTAAAGGCACTTGTAATATTGATAACTCTTCTCTGTATGGTTACCCAACCAATTACACATATAGTTAGGTTTAGTTCTTTAGAATTTTTTTCAATCCTTATAAATTTTATTTAAAATTATAAAATTTATTTTAGAATTGCATGAAATATTTAGGTAATTACAAATTTAAATCTTCAAAGGAAGCTATACTCAGAAAAGTCTAGACTGTGTCCCTGCCCTTTACCCTATTCCTTCGTACTATCTCTGTGTATTATTTTCATATTTTGGTTTGTCTTATTATGATATATGTATATATGTAATATATAAAATATAGGTGTGTGTGTGTGTGTATATATACACACACACACATGCACATATTTCTTTCTTAGATATAAGAAATAAGGCAGCATATTACAAATATTTTTTACTGTTTGGAAAGACATTTTTTTAAAGAAAATTACCTTTAGTGCTCTAAAAAGGAGTAATAGGATGAGAAACTACATAGCCAGAGCATCAGATTGTCACCACCTAAACTCATCGATCAAAACTAGTACCACCAAAAATGGAACAACCTAAAACGCAGTCCCTGATGCAGTGCTACATGAAATAGCACCACTTATGCAGTATACTGAAGAAATAATAAGCCTGAGTCCAGTCAAACTTTTAGAGTTATTTTCCAGTCTATGAAAACTATGAAGAATACAGGGACAAGTTAAATGACCCCACAAGGAAATTAATATGGGGCATTCTACATGGCAGGTGACAGGTTTTTCTTTTTCTTTTTCTTTTTCAACAAGTCAATGGCATGAATAAAATAGGGACCAAGGGGGAAAAAGGGACTATACTGGGTTATGACATAACTAAAGAAACACAACAATATGTGGACTTATTTTGGATCAAAGACCAACTATTAAAATATATTGCTGAGAGAACTGAGGACATTTGAATGATAAAATAATGTTTATTCAATTTATTAACCATGATAACTGTACTGCGGATATAAGGAAATATATATATACTCAAATGTAGTATATACTATATATTATATCATTTCTTTCATATATATGTAATATCAGTACATTCTTACTGATCTTACTGATCTTACATAAGAATGTACTGATATAGAACTGCCTTTTGATCCAGTGATTCCCCTGCTGGGACTATACCCTAAGAACACCAAAACACCAATACAAAAGAACCTATGCACCCCAATGTTCAGAGCAGCACAATTTACAATAGCCAAGTGTTGGAAGCAACCTAAATGCCCATCAGTAGATGATTGAATCAAAAAGTGATGGTACATATACACAGTGGAATACTACGCAGCAGAAAGAAAAAAAGAACTAGTAAACTTCGCTACAGCATGGATGGAACTGGAGAGCATTATGCTAAGCGAAATAAGCCAGGGGGCGAAAGACAAATACCATATGATCTCACCTATAAGCGGAACCTAACCAACAATGCAAAGATGCAAGGAAAATAAGACCAGCAACACTGAAAGGAAAAGAAATCAACATAGACAAGAGGGAAGGAGGGAGGGGGGGCAGGGAAAGGGAAGGGAAGGGGAAAGTCAAGGAACATATAGCAAGGACTCATGGACAAAACCAAAGGGGAAGAGCTGAGGGAGGGAAGGAGGGAGGGGGCAAGGGAAAGTAGTAGGGGGGAGGTAGAGACAAATATATTTAAACAATAAAAATAATAATAATTAAAAAAGAAGGTGATGGCAAAAAAAAAAAAAAGAATGTACTGATATAATACAATTCTGGAATTTGCTCTAAATTCCTCTGACAAAAGAATGATGATAAAGAAGTTCCCACAAACTTGGTGACTTGAAAGGACACACATTTATTATTTTGCAATTCTGCACATTAGAAATTCAGCATGGGTCTCACTAGATCAAACTTAAGGTTTTGATGGAGGTACATTCCTTTCTGGAGGCTCTGGGGGAAGATCCATTCTCTGCCTATTTTAGCTTCTAGAGGCTGGTTGTATTCCTTGGCTCTTCCTCCATCATCAAAGCCAGCATCTCTGATAATTCTTTCATAGTCACAGTTCCCTTTAATTCTACTTTTCTGACTTTTTCACTTATAAGTGACTTTACGATTACATTGGGCTCAACAGTGTTATCCAGGATTATCTCCCTATTTTAAAGCCAGTAGATTAGTGATCTTAATTACATTTGCAATTATAATTTTCCTCTATCATATAATGTAAGATATTCACATGTTCTCAAGATTAAGACAAGGACCTCTTTGGGGGCCATAATTCTTCTTCTTCTTCTCCTCCTTCTCCTTCTCCTTCTCCTTCTCCTTCTCCTTCTCCTTCTCCTTCTCCTTCTCCTTCTCCTTCTCCTTCTCCTTCTCCTTCTTCTTCTCCTTCTTCTTCTTCTTCTTCAGAAGGGGTATGATGAAATTTTGATAATTCAAATCTGAGTAATCATAGTTGGATTCTCTGTACTTTTATTAATATTTAAAGATTAAGAACAAAAAAGAAATAAATGGTGATGACTTAGACAAAACTCCATCCAGGACACGCCTCAAAATTCATGATTTCAAGGTCATGTTTATAATGTTTTCCACCACATATTTTTATGATGGAAACAATCCCTTCAGCCTCCACATATCAAAAATCATGTTTATAACTTCCTTACAATGATTTTGAAAGGAACATCATATCTTACACTGTTTTTGTATATATACAGCAATATGCTATACAGTGATATGGTTAATATTGTGTTTTTCTTGGTATGTCCCTCAATTCTTACCACTGAGCTGAATATGCAGTTAGCCCCTGACAAGTAGATAATTAATATTAAATAGGCAGTTTTAATATGTTTTATATGCTGCCCACATTTACCTTGAAGCTACCCCTGTGACCTTTGCCTCAAAAGAGCATCTAATAAAAGATCCTTTATGATTGAGTCTGGTTAAGACCTGAGGCCACTAGAATATATCAGAAATATGTAAGATGTTTAGAATACAAAGATGAGTAGGTACCAGTTCTCAGAGGTATAAATTAAAGTTTTATTTTTATATCAAGGTTGGAGATAATTCTAAATTTTTCAGAATCAAGGGCATGTAATGTACTGGTTATGTCATTTACCATTACGTGCCAGTCTCCTTGGCCCTAAAAAGGCCTCACAGATCCTCTCCCATATTCCACCCAGGACCCAAGTTGAGAATGACTTCATTGCACTATATCAAATGAGGAAAAAAACTTTATTGCACAACTTCTCTTGAAAGACAAATAAAATAACAAACATAGGATTCTTGGGCCTCAGTTGAAATTTCAATCACATATACTTACAATACTATTTTAGGTGAAGAGAACTGTGCCAATATTTACTAAACGGAGGTCTCAATGTTCTTGTTCCCAGTATGTGAGAGCTTTACTTCACGTAGTTCTCCTTACATTCTATTGTGTTAAAACAACAAGCTTGTCAAGAATGGAGACATTGCAGTGATATATACAGAGTCTATGGGAGCATTTTCTCTATGGGTTAAAGTAAGTAGTTGGATCAAAGTCAGGACATAGATGCTACAGCTGGTCTCTGAAAAAAATGGCAATTAAGAGGCAAAAAAAAAAAACAAAGAGAAAATCACAGACGTCTTTTTTTAGGTAACAACAACAGAACCAGACTGTTTGAAACTTGTAAGTGACTCCAAATGTCACATTTTTCACTGAATTCTAAATAATATTGCTATATATAACTTATTTTATTATACTAATAGCCATATGAACTTATAACAAACTTGTTACATATATTTTTATACACTACATTTGTTATCTTTCTATTTTGCATGTTTTTTTCGACAATAGATATTTCAGAGGAATTAAGACAAGCAGATTAAAACGTAGAGAAAGAAACATGCACATTTCCTTTAAATCACTTCCAGTCTAGACAAAGCTGGTATATTCATTGTGATCAATCCCTGAACTTCTGTGCAGTCTAAAATCCAGTATCTATGTGATTTTTTTATTCATTAGAAAACTTTATATCCTTTGAAGATTTAAATGTATATTTGCCAGGTTGTCAATTTTTGATAGTTGCTGGAGGGGAAGGTGGCGTGGGGGAAAGGATGAAGGGGTGAGGAGATTAAGAAGTACAAATAGGTAGTTACGGAATAGCCATGGGGATGTAAAGCACAGTACAGGAAATGGGGGAGCCAAAGCACTCATATGCCTGACCCAGGGACATGAACAATGGTGGGGGGGTTGCCCGAGGGAGCGGGGGCGGGGGCTGGTGCTGGGTGCAGGAGGGCAAAGGGGGAAAAATTGGGACAACCGTAATAACCTAATCAGTAA